TGTCACAGTTTGTCTAAAATAAAATGAAAGGTCTGTGGTTAGCCATTGCGCTGAATGCTAGATTACTACCTCGTCATGGTAACAACGACTCCCATCGGGTCTGCCATCTGCACAGATAAACATTAAAGTACAAACAAGCAATCCCCTACAGACCCTGTCAATTTGGTGGCTGCAACAGACCCACAGAAGTGCCTTTAAGTCAACGGAAAGAATCACCGCCAATGGCAAAAGATGCAATAAATGCAAGGACCAAAGGTTCCAACGAGCAACCTCTGTGATCTAATCTTGCACTGCCGTGCAAGGCAGCTATCCCATCCACTGACTCATCGTTCCTGACCTCACCTCAAATATGAGCTGTCTAAGAGGGCTCCAGTCGTAAATCCTCTCTGGTGTTCAGCAGGTGACAAATTACTAGTGGGCGATTCAGTCTGCAATCCGCCACACACACACACACATACACACACACACAGTCTCCTGGGCATGAAGAGGTGCACGCCTCAGAAATGTGAGGCAAATAATAAGCACAACTTGTGCAAACAATAGAAGGTGGGTAGATCCACTCAATGAGTGGTGCAATGGCAAAGAACATGTTTGCTACAAGCCCATCAAAATGCGTTACGCACAAACCAACTGGTTCACTATTCACATTGAGTTCTCCATTATTCACCAACACATTCATCTTCCAACATCGTTTGTCAGGTAGTGACATCAAATTCACCACCATAACCATACCTGAATAGTGAGTCCTCCAATCGCACGCTGTGGGCTTTACAAATTCCATGTATTCCTTGCCGAGAGATGCAACAGTCTTGCAATCAAGTTGAGACAAGCAAACTCAAATCACGCCCTCCATATTCAACTACTACCCTATGATATAGACATGCCTGTCTATTGCATCACAACCCAGACATACAGCCAATGCAACAAAACGCAACAAATGCCACAATAACTCTCCTTACAGTCGCCCGACTCCTATCCCACCTTATCCACATAGAAAGATCTGCACACTACACTCATTCACCTTGCTCCGCATCCCCGCCTTCGTTCATCAGCTTGTTCAGCTTCGCGCGTTCGTGGAAAAGGATGACTACGTAGAGAACTCCACCCACGATCACCGCCACGCCAGCTATCAGCAATGCCACCGAGAAGGTGGACGTTGCTGCCACAATCATGCCTGCAAAGAAATTGAATACACATACACCTCATCATCCCCCTGTTTCCATCCCACTGGTACATCTGCCATACTCCGTCCCACCAACATCAATGCCGCAACCTACCTGCAACTGGCGATCCTATCGTGCTCGCCACACCACGCACCATGGTGACAATGCCGTAGGCGTTAGTCAGCGCCTCCAGGCCAAGAATGTCGCAGATAATGATGGAAGTCAGCGAAAAGAAGGGCGCTAAAAGCACACAAGGTGATAGGCTTACTCCAACCTCATACAAATCGAGTCTTACATGAAGGTGAACTTACAGACAGCCAGACCGTAGATCACCATGAGAACAATTTGACCGATAAGACTGCTCAAGTAGGGCATCACGCACACAGCGACGCCGGACAACATAAGCGTCACTGCGGTCAACAGTGTGGAGGAGACTCTCGGCCGCCCCGCCGCCCACGAAGACAGCAGACGACTTACCACACTCGCCCCACCTACAATCCACCAACACACTCTTCTCACTCGCGCCTCCTCTTTCCTCCGACCCAAATCCAACCCAGCCCGCTCAACTGCTCACGCGCACACACCACCATCTGACTGTTGTCATGCGGAACGAGGACATTTGCATGCACCGTTCCATCAAGCGGGTCAACTTTAAACTCACACTCGTTGCATGCTAAGACCATGACTGCAGCCACAGCCTTCGCTCGAGCCTGGAAACTAACCTAGTTGCCTTCCTACTCGTCACTTGTGTGTTACAGCAAAGGAAAATAATTCCTCCGACTCCAACTCTCTGACCCACATCCACTGGCACGCGGCACGCCTTCCACCAGTTCACAGAATCCCTCATTCATAGGATCCAATGCCACCAGCACATCCCAATCAACAATGCACCAATTTCGCCTTCAATGCCTCCTGACCATGACTCACTACCACTTATAACTTACTGACATGCACACGCTCCGAAGCAGTAGTACATGCTGCCTATTTTCGCAGCCATTGATCCACGCACAAGACATAGGGATATGCATGCCTCGCTTATCAATCTTCTCATGGCTTTCCATCTCGCACCCTCCTCCCCCTTCTTCAACTTCTCCCTCGTTCCACATATACACACACACACACACACACACACACAC